TTGCTGCGGCTTGTTGGAGTGCGTGGTGCCCATCGTCGAAATCGACGGGGGACCTGTCGTCGTCGTGTGTGTGTGTGTGTGTGTGTACGCGTGCATGCGTGCGTGCGGAAGACAGGTACAGAAATAGCCGAGGATTCATGCAGTATCGGCTTGAATCCAAGCCGATGCGCGCTTGGTGCCTGTACGAACACAATGCAGATGGCTACCGTGAACCTCATAAAATGCACTTGGCATAAAATTAGCATCAGTGAGTCACTACGAACTCCCAATCCGAAGGACCGAACCTTTCAATCAATTAGCAGCCTCCTATGTTGCAACTTTAAGCGTGTCGATAGTGGCACGTCTTATGAGGCTGGAGGCAATTTACCAGCAACATGAAGAACACGTAACAACATAACTGACAACAATAGGATAAATCAGAAAGTAAAAGCAGTGTGATGGACTACGTTTGAAATTAAAACCTTCCAAAGAATACCCCTTGTGTGTCAGGTTTCCCCCCAGAAAGACATACCCCCGTCCTCTAACATGTCCAGACAGACTCCTCAGATTGCGTTTAGAAACATAGCCAATAACAGTGACTGAAAGATCCAGTAGATTCAGGTGGAAATCAATAGCCGGGTTACGACTTGAGATTAGTAGGCTTAGAAACTCAAACAAACGCTAGAAGGAACAAGGTATTGACATGAATGTTAATTCAAAACCCGAGTCCGAGCCAGGGTAACAGGACAAAGGGAAGGTCTTCGAAATCTGCAATGGAAGAGCCGGTGACGTACGGTCGTGGATAGGCTTGAATTTAGCCAACTCATCATACAACAGGGAGTGAAAAATGTCGAATTACGAGTTCGGCAAATAAATTTCAAACTTAGTACCGATCTTTGGACAGGCACACACACACACACACACACACACACACACACACACACACACACACACACAGGGATCGATCAATGACAACGGTTCTACTACATAACGGCCAGGTACAAACGTAGAAGCACGCATGCAAAGCTTGCCCACCAAAAACCGCCAAAACCATACCTGCTTGGAGCGCTGAATTGAGCGCATACCGGAATAGGACCTGAGGATATGACGAAAAGACATTTAGATGGGGTCAGACGCAAAAGGCTCTATGTACAAACCACCTCCAACTCAATAGGGGGGACATCGGAGGCATCGAAGAATGTGTGAAGGAGAGGGAAAAATGACAGCTACGACGAGCATTTGACTAAGTTTGGGTGAGCCCTGAAAGTATGAACGGTCAAAATTAGGAAGTTAAAAAGGGGAGCTAATTGTTCGGTAATCCTGTATCAAAGCAAGGCTAATAATCCAAGACGGAAACAACAATCACTGCTTACCCTAATTCTGACACATCAGCAAAGGCTGCTGTTTTCACTTTTGCGTCCTTGCCTTTATTGAAGGTGAGAACTAGATAGCCCTCGGAGCAGAAGTCATCATTGGGAGAGGCGGATTCGCTGCTACCGCCTAGACTTGATAGACCTGTGGAAAAACATTCAAGATTTGGCGAATTGGAGGAGCACGCGGTCATTGTGGAGTGGCTGTAGGAAGAACAAAGAAATTTACCTAAAAGTGGTGGTTCGAATTTTTTTAGACCATGTTCAATCGAGTTAAGTAGACAGCAATTGATTGCATCTTTCAGGCACCCTCAGCATTCATTCACAAAAATTTGGGCTGTATAATTTGCAGTGAGGCTGGCTTTGTGATCCGCTTTAATAAAAAAAAGGGTTTAGTCTACGTGGAAAGGGTACGCACTCCATCACAGAGATTCTTCAGGTGTTTATAGTCCGACCAAATGTAGTCGTGTTGTATATATGTTCAAATATCATAGTTCTAAATCAGGCCACTGATTAAAATCTGAAGAAGCCCGATGCTGCAAAAGTTCAGTTCGTCTCTTCGAATCTCAAGTAGAATTATTAGAAACGTCTGTTGTCCGCTACTCCTTGAAAACATGTATAAGCACATCAGCGGTCTGGCGTGGATCTGATTAGGTCAGCCATAAGTACTCATGGTATTCGAACAGAAACTATCTACTTGCGCCTCCAGCAATGTAGGATTTAGGGTCTTGGCAACAGATCGCTGGGGAGGCCGATCCAGAAATTAGTTCTACATTACTATTTATAGTTGTTACTATCGGCAGATAATTGCGTTATTCTTGACAATAGAAGTTAAAATGCTACAATCAGCCAAAACTACCGTACACGTGGGCGTGGCTAAACTAGTAAACTTCTTCACCAAATTTTTCTAAGAAGACAAAGGCCAGTAAATGTCAAGCCTCGCAATGAGTGTCAGAAAAAGAACTTTCAAGGTTTGGTCATGTGGGTCATTGTTTACGGGCTCACAACGGCCCCGGAGAGGATAATTAAGGACGAGCAAAAGCACTGGCCAACTTCGTGGAAAACCGACGTTAAGTTAATCGCCTGCGTCTGGAACTACCAAAAGAGGGAACCGTCTCGTGAAGGACTTCTACAGTCAGATAACCACAATTTGCAAGCCCATCTTTCCGCTTTTCTGGCTCAGTAATCGCTGGATTACTTTTCCTTTTATCGTAAGCGGCTAGTTAGCACACTTAGGATACCTCTAATGCAGTTCCGATCGAGATCGAAAAATGTGTTCGTGGGTCAGTGTTGATCAATAACGGTATCATGGCGTAGTTATCCACTCTAGGACATGACCTAAGGCTTAGATGCGCAAGTTAACCGAAATTTATTCATAAATAACCACCGGCTTTAAGAACGGCAAGACAAGCACAAAATATGTTGCCAAGATCTAATTCAAAAAGACCACACAATTAGACATTATTTTATCTGGTTAAGAATAATTACCATTCACTGTGTGAGATTTAAAAAAATCTGTCGCTATTTGCGAACTCTTGTCGACAACCGGAGTTACTAAAAATGCAGATGGGCCTAAATCCGCGGCTGTCGTGAAGTCGTTTGCAGACTTCACTAAATTAAAGTTCCAATATAAAAATTGGCGGAGTCTAGAGTCATAAATTAGACCACGAGACTTGCAAATACACAATGTGAAATCAGAAGTTGACATAGCTCATTTTATACAATTTCGCATCGACCGTTCGGGCGCAGAGATCTGTCAAAAGTGGCCTGTTCAGTTGCCTTGACTAGATTGGCGAATTAAAAAAATCAATTTGCTACGGAAAGATCATTTTAGTGTGAACTCGACATAGACATGCTATCTCAATTAATCACTTAAAGTATCAGCGAAAGGTAATGCGAATTTGGAGGTATAATAATGGTTAAGACGAAGAGCGAAGATAAGGAATAACCAAGATAGGCGAGTCTTTTCATGAGAGAAGGCATCTTGTATTTAACCCCTTTCCAAACAGCTGGAGACACGCAGCTAAGTAGACTTTACAAGCTTTCCAGGTTTAGCTGCATATGCAAATTAATAGCAGTCTACAAAGCACAAACATACGAAACTACACGTAACAGAATTAACTGTTACGGATGCATACTGTAGGGAGAAGTGGTCAAATGGTAATTCTTAAGGCGAATGTGTCAAGAGCCACGAAGCGCGATATGACCACAACTAGCATGCTTTGAGAACACGAGTTAGGGCTCATACGGATTTCCTTTTAATAGGAAACAAGATACAGTCAAGGACCCACTCATACTTTAAAAAAAACTGTCACGGAGATACGGGGAAAATGTCAATATAATCATGCTTTAATACGAAAATACTATTGTGAAACAGCATTAACGCAATAATGCCGAAAGACGCAGAGGACAGTGAGATTACAAGCACTGTTATATAAAAGAATTTTCCAGTTTTTATAACCAGTTTCACGCTTATATTTCTTTTGAAACAATGGTACCAAAACATGCAGGAATTTGCCGATTCTCGATTAAATTCAACTCGGCGATTATCGGGAATTTCTCACGACAAGTCATGTACTTGAGTAAAGAAGATGGAAGTTGTTCACTCGCCGGAATCGTGACTTAATTCATCAGGTCTTCAGAATTTTTACGGGAGTCCATCGTCAGAGATAAGAGCGGCAACAAAACAGTCAATATTTGTAGGGGTTAGGGAGCAATCAGACACCAGTTACCTCCGGACTGATTTTTAGTCGATCAACCGGTCTGAGTCCGGCATTAACAGCCTGCGCAGTAACCTTCGCACTGGCACTAATGGTGTTTGATTGGCCACCTCATAGCAAAGCCGAGCAACTACGGAACGACCGCAGCAAAAAACAGCTTTAAATCGCAAAGGCTACTTATCTGGCTGAGACAGCAGCCCTTATCTTGTTGCAACCGATTCACGACAGCGGCAACTTTTGGAAACTTCTGTCGGTAGCTTGACAGGAAAAATGTTATTAAGTTCCTAAATCATGTAACAATGGCTTTATTTGTGGCCGCCTTTACCTCTGACGATTAACTCCGGTAATAGTTTGAAAGTTCAGATGAACCAAGCCATGATTCGAGCAAACGGACAATCTTCTTTTTCCCTACTTATACACAATTGGAATGCGAATATTCGCATTACGATAAGTCAAATAAATGAGTACTTGAATTACGGTAATGCTAATTTGGGGTAAAAACTCAATTTATACCTCATATAATGACGATCGAAACCGAAATCCTGAACAAATTGAGTGAACTTACAGTGATATGAAGTTTTGTGCTCCTTCATAAACCGGCACGACGTATACAACACAGACGACGGCAGCGGTCGTTTTCCCGCATTCAATTACAAACTATGATAATCATATATTTAAACAAAAATTCGTTAATGTAAATTTTTGCTAATATCTTGATCTAAAAACACAACAAAAATGTAAAGTCCCTTATTTAATGAAGTTAAAATCCCTTGGCGATTTGTGTGCCCATCGACCTTTCCCATTGTGCCCTAACAGTCCAGTATCGCACTTCATACGTCTAACTGCGGCCACAGGCGTCCGCATAAATATCCACGGAAAACTCCGAAGTCCAATCTCAAACTTATTTGATTCCCCAATCGACAACATATCAAATAAAAACCGCACCATATCACAAACAAAAGGCAGAAAATATGCACATATCACAAAACGTATTTTTTGACCTGCATGGATGACTAACTAGATTGCTTACGACGTGTGTAAACGGATTGTTGAAATTCTCATTTTTGACCCGTTATGGAAATTAGTCATCCCAATTTTTTCTTGAAGTTCGTGCACTAGCTTCGGCATTTACCGCAGAGCGGCTAGTAGTATAGGCAGAAGAGCATTATCGACAAGGACCACCGAGCCTGTGGCTCGAGTCCTACAGTCTTTACTTTTGATCAAGAGGTCGCTAGTTCGAACCTTGGCTGGTGCAACAACTGGGAAGTAAATATGGGTGCATATCTGGAAGTAAAACGGAACTATTCGCGGTGAAGTGATCGTAGTACCGAGCCTTTTCTCACAGACGTTTCGACTTCACACTAGACTCCTTCGTAAGACTTGAAGGCAGATGAGTGTTTTGCTTCGCAGGATTAAGTCTTGTAACCGATGGATTGGTTCCTATCTACCATTTCGTATATTCCTGACCGAAACCTGCAAGTTGAAGAGCCCGTTGCGCCGTGGTTAGAGTGTTGGACTACTAGCCAAGGAGGTCGCGAACTCCAGCCTCGAGGGCTGAAGATTCCGAGGTAGCTTGTGGTTGGCCAGAAACGGTCAACCCAGTCTCCATTGAGTTCGTCGGTAATGTCAATGTTGTTTTTTCATAAAATGCAGTTGTCGACGCCTCAAATCCATCGTCAGATTGCCCTAGTTTAGTGCTAACTAGCCCCAGAGCGCGCTATATTGACGCTTTAGTATCCTTTCAAAATGAAAAAATAATTTATTCAGTTGCTAGCTATCAATTGGCGGATGTTTGTTAAAAGTGATGCTTGATCGGCCCCGACTACGCCTATGCCTTCCTGGCTGTGTTCGGGCGCAGGCTCGGCATAGAATATGATGAAGGATTTCACTACAGTCGCTAATAAACTAAGAGTTGGAAAAACACGAGTCAAGCAGTTCGCGGATGACGCGGATTTTATCTCCTGGAAAGTATCGCACTTGAAGTTGCAGCCGAGTTCTGTTGAATGCGTAGAGTGCTGGTGTAGTGTGCTTGATCATCCACGTCCAGTATTGACTTCCAATTTCTCGGACGTGGCTTCTTCACTCACAAACGCACCAAACTTGACAAAAGATTCATGACGTTTCCTTTCATGTCAGAAAGCCTTTTGCCCCGACAATCTGGTGTCACAGCCTCAGATGCAAGCGGTGCGAGTCGACAGCTTACAGCATCAAAGACTTTTTGGCGTCTGGGACGCTCACGAAACACAGGGCAGTAGGACTAAGTTTGTCAACTTGTTTGTTGGTGCATCAGTGGACATTGTTTCCCGGTTCATCACAGGGCAATTCACTGCATCGGTATAGCGCCCTTACACAACTGCGTTTCTGGCTGATCGTTTGGTTTTTGTTTAAGCTGTTAACTAATTCATAATCTTCGCTGTCCTTAACATGTTACCTTTTACAACGCCACAAATTTTTTCGTCCAAAACATCAGAGAATGTCATTAAGTTGTTCTCTCTTCATTCCTCGTAAACTGTCTATCCGCGTGGCCGGATCACCTTCGATGACGAAGAAGCTACCATCAAAATGCAGTCTATAGTTTTGTTCTGTAGTGTCGGAACTCCTGCGAATCTATCCATTGCAGGATGTCCTCCACTGAGTGCCGTAGTCGGCGAACCGATTAGCATAACGTTAATGTCCTCGTGTATCATCCCGTTAAACGCGAAAAACAGCTTGGAACGAAACTGCAGGAGTTTGTATTATTTGGTGATGTCCAGTGCAATACTTTATTTTACCGTATTTATTTTACGGGAGTATTTCAACCCTTTCGTTCGTCACATCTGATGGGATAGAAGTAAAGAGGGACGTGATAGCAAAGGAAATTAAACCTCTCTTAACAGGGGACTTATACTTAAATTTCCTTCATGAGGCTCTTATGAACGCTCCAGAAATTTGTAAAGTCCATTTTCCACTGCTGTCAACAACACAATAAATTCAAACATCTGACACGGGTCAGATCACTTTCCAAGACGCATTTGGCTTTCTGAATATAGTCTGTCCTGTCTAATATGACAGTAGAAGGCCTCTCATGTTCGGACACGGTAAAAACCTTTTTCAGTTTACAGTTCCCCAAATGCACCACAGTCTGCCATGGCGTGTGCTCCATGCAGCCTGTGAGCAGTAAGAAGAGGCTAAATTGGTGTTGAATTCAGTTCAATTTATCTGAGTGAATATTAGATTACAGTTCTAAACCTATTTGTTTACAAGCGACATACTTATACCATAAATTGTGAGTGCCAAATCGGTACTGGTAAACAAACGCCCACTTTTGTTGGCGGCACATGCAGATATAAATACACTACCTCACATTGTATACAGCAATTGGTTTGAGCACAAGGACGTAACAGAGAAACAAGAAAGTTTTCCGGTGTCTGTGAGTGTAAAGCTGAATGTCAGCATTTATAGGTGATGAATTAGATGCAGTAAATAAGTTCATAAACAAATTTTACTGAAAAGTAGCAAACACTAATATGTTAATCAAATTTTCTTTTGCATGCGGCAAGGCTACAACATTCGGGTGATTTTATAGCAGGCACTACTATATCGATCCGGCTTCCTCTTGAAGACTTTAACGGAAGTGGACATAACAACCTTTAGCAGCAGAGCATTCCAAGTTTTAGGTCACTCTGTTGCAAAAGAAGACCTTTCGCGTGTCCAGCCTAATCCCAGTCACAGGTATTGTGAATGAATGACATCTAAAGTTCGTAGTTGTCGCTTACTCGAAGAATTCACCAGGTAAAAGACAGAAGACCTTATTGCACCTGATACGGAATGTTTCTCTCATGTCGCCTCGTAACTGCCCATAACTCAAAGAAAATAGATGGAGACTAGACAAACGTGTTTCATAGGTTAAGTAACCCTGTCTGGTCACAAGTTTTGTGGCACGTATTTAAGTTCTTTCGAGAATGTTGAGGTCTTGTTGGTCCTGGGCCTCCAAGATTGGATATCGAACTCTAGTTGCGGCCACACAAAGGTTTAAAACACTTCAGCGAAGTAGTCTTGATTGAAGGCAGATTAAGTCCGCTTCGAGAGGCGTATGACTGACATCGCTACCTTTGAACAGGGAAGCAATGTCTTAAGCGAGATCGTGATCAGCATAACCAAGTCCTTCTTCATGTCCACTTATTCTAATGGTCTATCCTTCAGACATTAAGCTACGAGGTTCTGACCGCTGGTTCGGCCGACGCGTAGAATATTCCATTTGTTCTCATTAAACGCCAAAAACCCAGGCCTTTGACAAATATTGCAGTTCACTTGTGTTCGCCTGCAAATGCTCTTCTTTATGTGCAGTTGGGATGAGGATCTCAAACTTTATTTCATTTACAAGCATGGGAGCCTAAAGGTAAGAGTGCTCAGAACCTTATATACAATCATTTCAGCTGTCGAGAAGCGAGAAGATATAAGAAGCCAGAAGGATATAAAGAGATTTGGCTTTGAACGCCAAAAAAAGTAGGACTTAACTCGACATGGCATGGACTTCTGTCATACGACAGTTCGATCGTCGATTTTGACTATGTCCACCACGAACTTCAGCAGTCTGAAGGCATACACGGGGACGCTAGGTAGATTATAGCGAAGATACACTCGCTTAGGATCTACCTTTCCCCCTCCCACTCCCACGCCTGTATCTGGTATCAAGAAAAACGCAAGAAGCCCGAGGATAGGGAGGACGCCATCCCTACTATGCACGCCACCACAACGCCTGGCAAGGCTCCCGCTTGCGCGGGAGTGCCATAAAGTCCACGTTATGAAGGAGCATGCATAGGTGGAGGGTTTATGGTGAACGAAACCCAGAGTTGCCTTCTCGGGTGGCAGTTGCCGCTGGCTGACCTCCAGCGCGCTGAAT